TAGATTTCTTTTGAGTGTAAACTGATGTGGACAGTTGAACAAGAACTACTACTTCTTTTATCTCTATATCATGGTTTTGTGCTTTCATTGTCTACAAATATTTTGTGGTATACATGAATTTTGCTTATTGTATTTAACTTAATGTTACTTGTATTGTATATCACTTAATTGATATTTATTTTTGTTAAATTGCAGCCATTCCCACTTGAAGGAGATCCGACAGCCACAAAGCATGATCCATGGGAAGTCCGCAGGAATCACGCTAGAGTCAAGTTGATTTCTTTCCATACTGAAGTAGCTGATTTAGAAAGAAGTATATTAGGGCTATTATGCATTAATCTGTAAATATTTGTTTCTTTATTTATGTTGTATAGATCTATAAATAGGGAAGAAATTGTGTAATAAAGTATGATTTTTCTCCCAAACCTCTTTATTTCAACATGGTATCAGAGACACGAACGAAGTAAAGAGGAAGCCATCAAAAACCGAGCAAGCGGGAAGAAGAGGAAGCCATCGGAAGCCGAGCAAGCGGGAAGAAGTCTTACCGGAGATGACGGAGCCTAACATTAGATGAACCCAAAGCCTCAAACCGACCTCTAGATGCGAGAAGGGCCACTCGATCTCCCGCTAGTCGTATCTCTCGGTTGAGCTCAGGAAGAAGCCACATGGGAGAAAATGGTCGCTTGGGCATGGAAGAAGCCGCTCGGAAGAAGACGTTCGCTCAGACATCAGAAGACAAGAAGAAGCCGCTTGAAGACGTTCGCTTGAACACTTGGAATAAGCCGGGAGAAGACGTTCGCTCGGACGCTCCTCTGTTTCCCCTATTTCGCTCGAATACGCAGAGATGGATGGGGTCCTTTCTCGATTATCTAGGCGGGGCGACCGCAGCAAGAAAAAGGGACCAAAGAAGAAACCGCACAACAAAACTCATGGGATTTTCAAACCGAATGGACTCTTGACCCTATTCCCAAACCATGAAACTTAATCATATTTGAGACCTAATTAAAATCCTAATTATTTAAATTAGCCTTTATTGCTGATATAATCAGCTATTATTATTGTTATAATAGTCTGTATTACTACCTACTATTATAATACCAATATGTCTGAAGAAAATTCATCCCAGAGCTTTGATCAATTTGAATATTTTATAATACACAAAGAACAAGATGATCTCCAAAACATGCAACTTTCCTATCGCCTAAGCGGGAAGACCTACCTAAGTGGTCTCAATTTGTAAAAACCTACTTAAGGGGGAAAGGAAAAATTCACCACCTCCCTTGTATCACATAGCTAACTCTATTTCCTTCAATAACTTTTCATCCTCACACAAAAACTTTCTGGTTATACAAGCAGAAATTCTTATTCCTAATAATATTTTTGATGTCTTATCTGATGTAAATTGAAAAAATGTCATTAGAGATGAAATACAGGCCCTAAAAAAGAACAATACATGGGAAATCATCAAACTTCCAAAACGGAAAAAACCAGTCGGCTGCAAATGGATATTCTTTGTAAAATGCAAAGCTGACGGTACACTGAAAAGGTACAAAGCAAGACTAGTGATGAAAGGGTATACTCAAACATATAATATTGACTACCAGGAAACCTTTGCACCTGTAGCAAAGATGAATACTGTCAGGATCATACTTTCACTAGCAGTGAAGTACAACTAGCACCTGGAACAATTAGATGTAAAAAATGCGTTCCTACATGGGGACTTGAAGGAAGAGATATTTATGGAGATACCACCAACATTTAAAGAAAAATCTAGAGGTGACAAAGTATGCAGAGTGAAAAAAGCCTTATATGGGGATTATGGGCTAAAACAATCACCTAGGGCATGACTTGGAAGATTCTCAAAATTTATGCTTATTAATGGGTATCGACAGAGTCATGGAGACCATACACTCTTCTTTAAACACACGGACTCAGGAGAAGTTACAATATTATTAGTCTATGTAGATGATATTATCTTGACTAGGAATGATGAAAAGGAGAAAGAAAGTTTAATGAAAAATCCTACCAAGGAATTTGATATCAAAGAACTTGGTAGGCTAAAATACTTTCTTGAATTTGAAGTAGCTCATTCCAGCAAAGGAATATTCATCTCACAACAAAAGTACATTAAAGATCTTCTAAAGGAAACAGGAAAACTAGCATGTAAGCCGGCACCAACGCCAGTAAAATCAAATCTCAAATTGGGAGAAGTGACAGAAGATCTAGATGTAGATAAAGGGGCTTACCAGAGACTAGTGGGAAAATTGATCTACCAATCTCACACGAGACCAATATAGCATTTGTTGTAGTATGGTCAATTAGTTTATTCAAAATCCAAAACAGACTCATATGCAAGCAGTAGACAGAATACTACGCTACCTTAAGGGTAACACAAGGAAAGGAATTCTCTTTAGAAGAGACCACAGAATAATCCTAGAGGCATACACTAATTCTGAATCATACAGGATCACCAGTAAATAGAAAATCTACCTCTGGGTATTGCACATTCCTTGGAGGAAACCTAATTACACGGAGAAGCAAGAAATAGAATGTAGTAGCAAGATCTAGTGCAGAAGCAAAATATAGGGCTATGGCCTTGGGAATATGTGAGGTACTATGGATCAAGATGATTCTAGAAGATAAGGATCAAGTGGGACGAATCCATAGAGTTGCATTGTGACAACAAATCAGCAATCATCATAGCTCACAATCCAGGCCAACATAACAGGACCAAGCACATAGAAGTTGATAGACATTTAATAAAAGAAAAGTTATACAATGGTCTTGTATGTATCAAACAGGTGTCATCAAAAGATCAACTTGCAGATATCCTTACCGGGCACGACGACACGGACACGACACGACACGACACGTGACAGGTCAATTATTGAAAATATAGGACACGGACACAGGTTGGACATGGCATTATAGTTTTTATATTTTAAAAATATTTTATAAAAATTTAACAAGTATAATTTTAAATATAATTTAGAAAAATTAGGTCATTTAACTAGAATTTATGCTTAAAATAATTAATATTAAGATGTCGATGTCGTTTATCAGTCATCAATAGAGGAGATGAAAATACATTCACTGCCGAAGATAAATGAAAATGAGAATATTCGATGAATGGGGTATTAAGTGCGGGCGATTGATTTGATGTTATGGATAGGAAATAAGAAATTTAGTTTTTATATTTTAAATAAGTAAAACTTTTAAATACAAGAAATTATATTTAAAAAAAATCATAAAATATTTAAGATACGTGTGTCGGACATGCGTGCCCAATTTATATATAATAATTTTTAGTCAGACACATTTTCAGCGTGTCTGACACGTGTCGGAGGAGTGTCAGAAGCGTGTCGTGTCGGATACGTGTCGGACACTGCACGCCTCTTTTAGGAGAAGTGTCGGTGCATCATAGATCCTTACCAAAGGGTTAGATAATTCTGCCTTTCTAAGAATAATAGCCAAGCTGGAAATAACAAATCCATATTTCCCAGCTTGAGGGGGAGTGTTAAATCCCAATCATTCCCCCTTAAAGGAGATCCGACGGACACAAAGCATGATCCATGGGAAGCCAGCAGGAATCACGCCAGAGCCATGTTGATTTCTTTCCATAGTGAAGTAGCTAATTTAGGAAGGAGTATATTGGGGCCTATTATGCATGAATCAGTAAATATTTGTTTCTTTATTAAGATATCTTATATAGATCTATAAATAGGGAAGAAATTGTGTAATAAAGTATGATTTTTTTCTCAAACGTCTTGATTTCAACAATTTTATTTTCTTTATTTCATTTTATAGTTTCACATTTTCACCTCCTAGATGAACATAATTAAAAATTTCATGGAAAAATTAGATGTAAACTTATGAAGAAATAGGTCAGCTACTCAATACTTTGTCTGCAATTTAAAAAATATATATTTACTCTTGTTTTATGCTTCATAATTATTTATTTTGTTCAATTGTTTGTCATATATTTCATATAATTGCATCATTATTAGATAAAATATATTATATTTAAATAAAATTAATATTTATTACAACATCCGGTTCAATGATGGTTTGACCCCAATCAAATCATCAAACAGTGAACCTCTCCTACTTCTGGTTCATTATCCGATTCGATTTTCAAACCTTTGTGTTGTATTATTGGCCAGTGTTCCTTATTTTATTTAATAGGCACAAATGAAAATTTAATTGTGATGATTAAATTATAATTGCTTTTTTATTTTACTTGTTTCAAATTTCTCACTGATTTCTTCAAATTTATCCAATTGCTACATAATTGTCTAGCTTTTAGTTCTGGTATTTTTATGTTAAATTTAAAGGAAGCAAGTTGTTGACAAATTTAGTGGGTTTGTGATTACAAATCCTAAATTCTAATACATGTTTTACATATATTTTATGATTCTAGTTGTATTAGGAAACCCCAACCCTAAATTGCTCTGCAATAGAGTCGAGAAAAAGTTATTGATTATGGCTTTCAAACTACTTCGAACCAAGACCATTTATTTTAAAAATATTTACAAATTTTCTAATTGAGATTATTCAGACACTAATTTGTAAACTTATCTTTAGATAATCTTCAATAGGATTGAATAGAAAATAATAATTCATAAAGTTGAGCCCAAACAATTGGGATAAGGTTAATGATGATGATGATGATGATGATGATATATTATGACTTTTTCACTAAGTTATATATAAGATAAATATTTTTGTATGTGTATAATATGCAAAATAGATAATAGATGTGTTTATGCATATATGGATGCATTTAAGTATACGGTTATGTTTTTAAATGTATGAAGATAGCCATATGCATACATATTTATGTGTACATCAATCAATTTTATGATTAAAATCAAAGCAATTATTGAGGGAGTTTAGAGTCTCCCACACAATTATAAACCCTAGAAAATCTCAAATGATGACAAATAACCATTAATGAGAATAACAAATTATCACCAAGAGCAAAATAACCAAATAATTACCATGAACATCTTGCAATTTTTGTGCAAATAATTTTACTAAAGAGCTGAGTCCAAAGTAGTACGAATACTGCTTTTCCCCAATTTGCCATTTACATTGCTAGTAATTTGTTCACGCTGACCGCCAATAATAGATGATTTCTTCTGCAGCTTTTGCTCCTTCAAGAAATACATAAGAGTTAGCAAACAGGACGTTCTCTATACTTTCTTAAATATCATAAGATACGATTACATAATTAGAATAACTGACCTTGTCATGAATAAGCATTTGAAAGCTCCCAAGGTGCTCAATTTGTTCTTCATAAAACTTCTTCCTCATCAAGCATTGCAATGCAGCTGTGAATAAAATAAAGATAGAATAACCACTAAATTTTGCACTTCGGGCATACATAGATTCTTCCCATGAAATTACCAAATATTCAACACGCCATCAAAACATAAAAAAGTGTTAAAACAAAAGAAAAAGAATATGATTGGTTCACTTTGAATTGCCGACTACTTATATAAATGGAAAAAAGAGCTTATGGTGATAGCCAGGAAATATATGGCTACACATTGCTTCAAAATATAATTTGATCAATAAAGACCGATCAGGTTCACTGGCAAGCATATCAATCAGCAAGCACAGAAAAACACAAAGAATTAGTGCAACCCATATATAGCATGTCCATAATTTACATACAGCGAGACAAAGCATAGTTATAATATGGTATGCCTGTATTCCACATGATGGTACTATATTCCAAGAGACTTAGTGCCACTGAATTTAAGAATTTAATGTGATTTTCACCTGGTCTATTTTTTGCCTTTGTAAATTCTTTGGCTCTCTCAATCTCCAAAGCAATCTTTTCTTGCAAAATAATCTCCTTCTTCTCAAGCCTTTCGAATGCCTGTAGATTGATAATAATAGCAAGACGAGAATGTAGTTTAGCTAAGACAAATTCTAGAGAACAAGCCACTTGAAATGAAATATTCCTAGCAAAGAACATAAGAAGAAAGCATCCTCCAGGACCTCCACTAGGTGCACTTCAATACTGATTCACACTTAGGACCTTAATTGGTTCAGCTTTTCCCCTGCTTTTCTATAGGGAATGTTTCATCTTAAAAACAATTAACAGTTTGAATAATATTTTTTACCTGCCATATGAAAATTTACCCACCCAAAATGGTTGTAGGAACCTGCTTTCTAGCGGAAATTTTAAAATAGCTATTCAAAAGTGCCTCCAGAAAAAACGGTTGATAAAATGCCAAACTACGATAAATTCACGCCCTTAAGCCTCATTTTATATAGCATACAACTGTCTATGATAACTTGAAGATGAAACTAATAAAACTTAAAATTAACAAGTTCGGTTTTATTTTTTTCTTAAAAATATTTCTTAAGTTTATTATCATATATTCATATTAACAGACACATGTTTTTCATGTGCTATTTACACATAGATGTTCCCCAATTTGTTTCATTTAATGAAAAAAAATTCTTTAAATTTTTTCTATTTAAAAAAGAAATAATTATTGTATCCAATACTTAATTTTTAATACATTTAAATTAATAATACTGTTTAATGAAATATTACCCATTTAGTATAACGCTAAAGAAAAAAACAGGAATGATGACACTTTTGTCTTGTAGGGTATTAAAGCAACTCAACACTTGCTAAATAATTTTATGAAACAAGAATTTTGTTATTTAATTTTCATATATCATCTAGATACTACGCCATAAGTGCAACCAAAAAAAAACTCCGGCTATTACACTCACAACAGCTTCTGACAGCTGTTTTTCTATAGCAATTTCTCAACTAATTATATACCGACAACAACAGCCAAACCAAATGAGCCCTTTAAATGAAGTGATGTCCAGAGTCATGCGCACTTACATTAATGCTATTGAATTTATAATGCAGTTTGAATTAAAATACAAAAACTAATTTGATTAAAGAAATACAATCTTTCACTTTAAATATTAAGAAGACCAATTCTAGTGAGGATGACCCAAAAAAAGTTAATGCACGCCAACTTACTTCTATGCTTCTCTTTTAAAGGCCAAAATTATGTGTCATAAAGCATTGCAGGTCTCACCACCATCTTATAGAATGTTCCTTAAGATTGAGTGGTACTTTTCTATCACACAACAGGCACGATGCATTCCTCCACTTCAACCATCCAACTTGAATTCTACTAATAATACCGCCATCTAGTTCACGATCACTTTGAACAATAGGCCCGATATATCTAAAATGTGCACTCTTATTAATGACTTGATCATCCAAAGTCACAATCCCCCCAATAGATCTAATACTACTAAAATTACACTCCATATATTCAGTTTAAATCTGCCCAAACAAAAAACTTTAGACTCTAAGGTTGACCTCCATAATTCAAGTTCTATTTCAACTCCCTCTCTAGTCTTATCAACAAGAAGAATATCAGCAAGAAGCATACACCGAGGTACATCCTCTTGCAAATGTTTAGTAAGAACATCCATGACTAATGCAAAATAATTTGGGCTTAGAGTTTATCCCTGATGTAATCCAACTGGTATAGGAAAATACATGGTCAAACTACCTTGTATTTGAACACAAGTAACATCTACTGCATACTATCCTTAATGATTTGAATATAAGTATTATTAACTCTTTTATTTTCTAGAACTCTCCAAAGCATTTCTCTTGAACTTTCTCATATGCTTTCTCTAAATCAATAAATACCATATATATATGCTCCTTATTCTATCTATACTTCTCCATCAAACTTCAAAATAAATGTATAGCTTCCATAGTAGACCTACCCAGCATGAATCCAAATTGATTTTGATAAACATTAGTATCATTTCGTAACCTATGCTCAATAACTCTCTCCCATAATTTTAATATAAGACGCGCTAGCTTATTTCTTCTATAATTCACACTCTAGTGCATCACTTTTATTCTTAAAAATAAGAATCAACGCACTCTTTCTCCACTCATTTTATGCATTTTTAGTCTTCAAAATGATATTGAAAAGCTTCGTAAGCCGATAAATTCCCTCATCCCCCAAACATTTTCACAGCTCTTGGAATATCATTAGGTCCAACAACTTTTTCACACTTCATTTTTTAAAAGCTTCTCTAACTTTGATTTTGCTAATACGGCGATAAAAATAAAAATTTTTATTTTTATTGAGGATGCTAAGGTCACTACATTCAATCGTATTCTTGAAAAGCTTATTGAAATATCTCATCAACTTTTGTTCAATATCCTATTCTAATATAAGCATATTTTGATCCATTCTAGTGAGGATGACCCAAAAAAAGTTAATGCACGCCAACTTACTTCTATGCTTCTCTTTTAAAGGCCAAAATTATGTGTCATAAAGCATTGCAGGTCTCACCACCATCTTATAGAATGTTCCTTAAGATTGAGTGGTACTTTTCTATCACACAACAAGCACGATGCATTCCTCCACTTCAACCATCCAACTTGAATTCTACTAATAATATCGCCATCTATTTCACGCTGACTTTGAACAATAGGCCCGATATATCTAAAATGTGTACTATTATTAATGACTTGATCATCCAAAGTCACAATCCCCCCAATAGATCTAATACTACTAAAATTACACTCCATGTATTCAGTTTAGATCTGCCCAAACAAAAAACTTTAGACTCTAAGGTTGACCTCCATAATTCAAGTTCTACTTCAACTCCCTCTCTAGTCTTATCAACAAGAAGCATACACCAAGGTACATCCTCTTGCAAATGTTTAGTAAGAACATCCATGACTAATGCAAAAAAAATTGGGCTTAGAGTTTATCCCTGATGTAATCCAACTGGTATAGGAAAATACATGGTCACTACCTTGTATTTGAACACAAGTAACATCTACTGCATACTATCCTTAATGATTTGAAAATAAGTATTATTAACTCTTTTATTTTCTAGAACTCTCCAAAGCATTTCTCTTGAACTTTATCATATGCTTTCTCTAAATCAATAAATACCACGTATAGATGCACCTTATTCTATCTATATTTCTCCATCAAACTTCTAAATAAATGTATAGCTTCCATAGTAGACTTACCCGGCATGAATCCAAATTGATTTTGATAAACATTAGTATCATTTCGTAAACTTTGCTCAATAACTCTCTCCCATAATTTTAATATAAGACGCGCTAGCTTATTTCTTCTATAATTCACACTCTTGTGCATCACTTTTATTCTTAAAAATAAGAATCAACGCACTCTTTCTCCACTCATTTTATGCATTTTTAGTCTTCAAAATGATATTGAAAAGCTTCGTAAGCCAATAAAATCCCTCATCCCCCAAACATTTTCACACATCTTGGAATATCATTAGGTCCAACAGCTTTTTCACACTTCATTTTTTTAAAGCCTCTCTAACTTTGATTTTACTAATACGGAGATAAAAATAAAAAAAAATTATTTTTATTGAGAATGCTAAGGTCACTACATTCAGTTGTATTCTTGAAAAGCTTATTGAAATATCTCATCAACTTTTGTTCAATATCCTATTCTAATATAAGCATATTTTGATCCTCATCTCTAATGCACTTCACTTGAATTAAATCTTTACTTCTCATTTCTTTTCTTGGCTAACTTATATAGTGGCAGAGCCATAAATTTTTTATAGTGGGCGAACAAATTAAACTTTTCAGATATTACCTCAATTTTTTTTATTTGTGTTTGATACCGACATTGGTACCTTTAAAAACAATTTTATTTAAATTTGTTATTTTAAAAATATAACAAGATGATAAAAACATACAATTTATAATGCATATTCTTTATATTTTGAAAATTTTGAATGATTATTTTATTATGAATACAATTCATTATTTTTTTTCTTAATATACATGATTAAGATATCATTCATCCACTAATCTCTAATTCTATTTAATTGTCGATTACTTATAACAGTCAAAGTAGAAAAAAAAGTTTTTCAATTTATATTACAAACATTTTGATAGGTACCACTTGAGTATTTCAAGTGATTCCTATCGGATCTAAGCCAAATCACTAATAATCCGCTGTTTTCTATGGAAAACAGCCACCAAGCACAAAAACAGTGGAAAAATCTGAGAAGAATCGTAGAGAGAATAGGAGAAACAATTGCAAACGATAGAAATTTCACTA